CTCTGGCCCTTTTAAACATTACAAGAGCAGTCAGCAAAACACTGTCTCCAGGGACTATTACTCTGTGGGAACTCTGCCAATCGAAGCATTACTTAGAAGACATGGTTTTTTGCTTAATGTTCCTCAAATGCCTACTGTCAAACTTAACCAAAGTTCTAAAAGTTTTCAAACACTTCTACTTGGTACAGAAACACTCGAGAGCAGCCTGTGTACCAAGTAAGCAGGATCTTTTCCACCCAGCCAACATCACTTTTTTCTTTTCCAGAGCACCCTCGTAAAATTCATTTACACTCCTGAGCTTGAATTCTGATGGTTAGAGGCCTTTTTAAACCTAGAATTCTATTCCAGCAGTCGTCCATTTTGCAGGGAAAGAAAGAGATTACAAGTTTTGAACACTTGAAGGCCAGGACAAAAAAAGCTAAGGGCCACACACCTTATTTCTTCAAATTCTCTCTCTTCTATCCCAGAGCCTCTGATGACTTCATAATTGAAACACGTTTCACAGAAGACTGCCACACAGGAAGCATGGCACTAGAAATGAGCCAAGATCCCTGGTACTGGGTTAGCAACAAACTCATGTCATCATAACGCCATTACTTTGTTATATTGGATGACAAAGTCTTTGCAGCATCATTTACTCCTGGCAGGCCATGTATCTTAATTCTTTTCTTGGTAATTTATTTTTGCTGCCTGGAAAATTCTGCTTGCATGGAAAAGCATCTTAAAAATAATAAAGTTTTACTTTTTACTTAAAATAATTTTTCCTATGCATTTGATGTCAATAATAAGTCAAAATTTGTGTGAGCCACTCTTGGAGGACTTTGTCAGAATGGGTATCCATCATGAGAAAAAATTAAACATACTATATAAGGTAAGCATTTATATATAGGTCTGATATCACAAAATTAGCTCATAGTAATGGCTGAAACCAGGAATTGGGCATTTGGTATACAACTTAGAAATATTTTACATTTCTATTCTTCCAATCACTTTTGTTAATCTATTTTTAATTTATTAAATTAGCTCATTTCCTCATTTTCTTTAGATGAAGTGATAATTAGTATGCCAAAGTGTACTTTGATATTTTTTTAACCAAGACATTTTTTCAATAATCTCTCTTAATAGGCTTCGATGAACTTGAGAGAATAAGGATTCTGCTGCATCTGTTCTCACAGGCTGAGCAACTGGTCCCAAAGCTTCTTTGAGTAATGGACTAATGGCAGGACAGCAGAAGGTTTCTAGTGGTGTTGGTAGAAGATCTGTCCTTGTCTTGCATTATATTAACGTGTCTGGAGCTGGCACAATGGTCAGACTGGTTGAAATTAAAATAATAAAGCCTGACACCCATCTGCAAAGAGCATGGAATCAGAAAACTCAGAGTCTGAATCCTTCTCTGTACTTACTATCTATGTGTTTTGGGACTATTTCACATCTGAGCTTCTGTTTCCTTATATGCACGATAGCTTTTCAGGAAAAAATAAATATATACATTATATCAGCCAGTGCCCCAAAATTGGTTCTTTTTAACAAGTTTGTAGACAGTCCAAAGCTAGTGATAGTCATGCTGCATCATAGAATATGAGTTCAAAGTACTGATTTATTAGAAAAAGGAGCCAAGATAGAGAGGGATGTAGAGGGAAGAAAACGAAGTCTTACAGTTCTTTTTTTAATTTTGATTTTGTTTTATTTATATCAAAATGGGTGGGTCATTCCAGCTTCATAGCTTATGTGAAAGGTTTCTGAAAGCTTGAGTGACAGGGAGCTTATTATGGAGACAATACGACATAGATACTTAATCATTAACTATAATATTGTACAACACAAGCATTTGCTGTATGTAAATCCAGAAAATTAAGCAGCCTAATACACTTTGTCATGGCCACATTCAATCTGGGACATCATGCTCAGTTCAGGAGCCAAGGCACTGCATTTTCAGCAGAATATTTACAAACACAACATAATGTGAGAAAGAAATCAGAACAGTGAAATGCTCATACCAGGGGAAAGATGAGGATGTTAATGGTAATGAGACTAATAAGAGAAATTTATGGTGGCTTATGTGCCAGCACTCAGTAGGCAGAGGCAGAAAGAGCACCACATCTTTTGGGAATATCTTGGACTACATTGTGAATTCTTGGCTAGCCTGGGTTATAGAATGAGGTCCTGGAGAAAGACAGAGGTACAGAGACAGAGACATAGAAACAGAGAGATATACAGAGTGAGAGAGACAGAGAAAAGCAGAGAGAGAGAAATCAAACATATAAAGAACAATAAAAGTTGAATAATAATGTAATCACATTATATAGTAAGTACTTGTTATGCACAAGATAGTCACTGATATCAGCATTTCTCAGATGACAAAACCAAGGCACAAGAAGGCTAGTCACAGGCTTAAAGCATTTTAGTGGTAAGGGGATGAGGCCAGCTTTTCCTCCAGTAGTCTATCCCTAGTCCCTAGTTCTGAGATGGATACTAGAGCTATTTACAAACTATTTCTGGTCTTATAGGATCATGGTAAGCATATATTCTCCAAATTCCTCTGAAGTTGTGTATTTGCTTTACCCAAATGAAAGGTGAGCTTTCATGACATTCTTCTCTTGAGCAAGAGTGTTTAAGTGTCTGTATACAACTTGTCATAGACTCCTCCCACTTCAGATATGCAGAGATGGTCTGTGACCCGCAATGATGAACAGTTTCCCATGTGGACAACTAACAGGAGCGAGAAATAGCATTATTGTTTTGTCAAGCCACTAAAACTTAGGACAGGACTTATAACTTTCATTACCTAACTTTTTTTCAGAGAGATATGAGAACTCACACACTTAAAGTCTTTAAAATATCTCTGAATAAAAATCCTTTATTCTTCTAAGGTCAGAACTAGGAATGAGCTACAGTGACTATAGGTAGGCAGATTGGTTAATTCTCTAAGCCCAATTGTCCAAAAGTTGTTTTATGAGGTAGTGAGCTCCTCAGTGATGACACCAGCATTTAAGCCAATTGTATGTATCATTTTGCATCTATGTAGCACAAGAGATGTCTTAAATAAGGAACTTTAATATACCAAGTATTTCTTGAGCACCTCCAATGTGCCAGGCAGCCCAAACACAAAGATAAATCCAAACACACAGTCTCTACCTTCAAGGAAAGAACCATCAAGTTTGGAACTAGATAACTACTGAGGATTTGGTTTTTGTTTGTTTTTTGTGTTTTTTTAACAGTGTGATTAGACCAAATTAGAGATAATAATATGGCTGAATGAAATAGAGAGCAAGCCTGAACTTACAAATCACTGTGCAGCACTAGAAATCCTGCTCATGCTTAGGTCATAGTATTTTTTGTTTGTTTGTTTTAATTAGGAGCCAAAAGTATAGGGTTTGCAAACAGGAGCAAAATGGGAGAATTGTTGGGTTGGAAGGAAGAACATTTTTGCTTTCTCTAGTTACGATGCTTCAGTCTTGCAAACCAAGCATATTCTCTGGCTTACATCAGGGGTGTTCCAGCACAGGGAACACACTGACTCACAATTGTTACTGACCTTTTCCATCACTTCTCCTACCCCTTCCTGCCAGGAAAGGCACATTTCAAGACTGATCAAGTTAGACATGCAGAGAAGCAATTACCTTTCTATATAGGGCTATTCTTCAGTGGAGAATTCAGCCAAAGCCTTTCCAAACTACCAGAAATTTTCCCTAAAAGGCCATGGGGGCGGCGGCTGGGCCTTGAGGAGCCTCATATTCAAAGGAGGATGTGAAAATCCCCAAGTGGATGAGTAACTCTGAGGGATATGGACCTGTTTCACACATGGCCCCTCTACACAACGCTCACTTCAGTTCTTGCTTTCCCTTCTTGGTACCAAGACTTAAAAGTTTGTTTTTTCAAAACTATCAAAAATCAAACTGAGGAAAGATAAGCTCGTCTTTTCACTACCTCATTGCATTTTAATGGAAAAACAGCTAAGACCAGGATAAGCATTAACTGTAATCGTTGTGAGGCAGACATTCCATTTCAGGATATTATTCATGATGGTATTGTATTATTGTGGAATAATATATGTGGATGAATTCTGCAGCCACTACCTAGACTAGGGTGTGGAGATCTCATTACTATTGTTCCCCAACTCAAAACCCCAGATTTGAACTTTAAATCCTCCAGCTCTGCATGGGCCCTGAATTTTCTGAGCTATGGCTCTGATTTTCTATGGAATAAACACAATAAATCATCAGGGTAAGCTCAGACAGTTCAGTATGGCATGAGTTTCTCTAAAACACACACAGAAGAAATTAGCTTTGACACATGTAAGAACAGCAGGGGACCCTAGTTTAATATGCACCCTTAATACTTCGTCTATTTTCAAATACACAATATTTTTGCAGCGACAGCTGGAGCCCTTGAGACCCGTTCTTGTGCCAAACTATGTACACAAATACATTCTTTATAAACACATGTGAAACGTCATATTAAGAAAGAAGCGAGGCACGGAGGTTCGGGTGTTTAGTGACTCAACACCCAAAAGTTTCAGGGACAGATTAAGAGGAGACCGCCCATCCCGGACTTTCATCCAAGCGCTATGGAGATGACCCCATTTCCTAATATCAATCTGCCCTCTGCCCTGGTGACCTGGGTTGAGATTTAATCGGGGGCCAAGAGGGGCCAAGACAATTGTGTGGTTGGTTCCTCAGGGGGAGAGAACGTCTGGGAATTACTAAACCTTCCCAGGCTATTGGGATTGACACACCCACCCAGAAAGCAGGGCCCAGGGCCTCAGCAGGGAGGATGGAGCAGGGACCCGGGCCTGGGACCCTTAACACTGAGCACACGAAAATGTTACAATCCAGGACAAGTGAGAATGCCGGCCAGGGGAGGATGCACTATTCCTCCTCCTCCACTCAGTCCTATCTTCCCTTGGAAAGTGTGAGCAAGAAAGTTGTGCCCAGGCCACGGTGACCAGGGCAAGGAGGCGCGAGGACAAGGAGAGGAGAAGAGAGTTCGGGGTCCCTTACCTTGTCCTTGGGACCGAGGTTTTGTAACACCTCCTTGCCCGTGGCGCTCCGGATCTCCACCCCGGCTGGCGCGGGCGAGGCGGGCGCGGGCTCCCTGCTGTCGTCCCGGCCCTGGCCCCTCCGCGGCGTGTCCTCTTCGACCCCCGGCCGGCTGCTCCCGCCGCGGCCGCCGCCCTGGCTGCTACGGGGAGTCTTGGCTCCCCGCTGCCCCACGCTCAGGGCATCGAAATCCAAAGTCTTGCTCTCGAAGGCGCCCTCCACGTTGCAGAACATGCCGCCGTACTTCTGCCGCGGGACCTGGTCGGTGGTACCCGGCCTGGCCAGGTACACGGGCAGATCGTCCTCGTGGGAGCTGTCCCAGCCCCTTCGGCCCGAAGCCATGGTTCAAGCGCGAGCGCGGCCGGCTGGGCTTTCTTCCCCAGAGGCAGAAAGGGCAGCCGCCGGCAGCGTGAGCCGAGCCACAGTGACGGGTGGGAGGAGGCGCCTGAGCCTTCGCGCCAGAGGCGGCAGTGCTGCTCCGATTCCTGCTGTCCCCCGCCAGCCAGCCAGCCACCAGCCAGCCAGCGCGCCGCCTGGCCTCTGTTCCCGGGACCTCCTGCCCGCCCTCCCCAGACCCCGCCAACGTACCTCCCAAAAGCCCATTTCTAATGCACCCTACGGCCTGACGCAACCTGGGTGCCACTCACAGGTCCAGGTCCAAACTTAGCGCGCGCGCGCACGCACACACACACACACACACACACACACACACACACACACGAGCTTTCTCCCATTTTTAACACTTCTCACATCCTCCAGAGTTCCTCTCACCCTTGTGACCTTTTCATTGAAGAGAGAGAGAGAGAGAGAGAGAGAGAGAGAGAGAGAGAGATGCACACACAGACACACAGACACACGCACACACTGTGCTCTCACAACCTCTCAGAACTTGATTCAGACAGATACAATACAGGTGTCTTAGAAATGTTCAGATTGAAGAAGCTGGCTCACGTGGCCACACAAACTCTGTGTTGCCCACTTGAACTCCCGAGTTTTCCTCAACACGCAAATCATTGTGATCGTTGTGTGCACATTTAAAAGCCAAATTGACCCAGATGTGTTTACCTGGAAGACAGGTCCTCAAACTTACCACAAACTCCCAGTCCTACCCACAAACCCAGACTGTTTCATCCAATCTTTAATTTGTCTCAAAATTACACCCAGTTTCCGAATCTGCCTCACAAACTGGCAGGTTCACATACCAGACTGCTGAACTGGGTTCCACATACCCATATAATACACACACACACACACACACACACACACACTGGGGAGATGGTCTGACTTTATTGATAATCACAGATCCTATAATCACCTCACCTAAACCCATTCTTAACTCATATACACCGTCCTAGACTTGCTTTTAACCGAAGTTAATTTGCCTCAGCCACAGTTACATTGAATCGTAGGCAAGCATACATCCCAGATTTTGCCCTGAGAAATGCTCTAAATTAATACCTTGCCCATCAAACAAAGAACTTATGCTTCACGGCCACCAAAGCCAATATTCACCTCTCAGAACCCTACACTTAGCTTCACACACAAGTCTGCATTTACTTTAATAATGCACTACCAGAGGCTTTGCCTTCCATCTTACCTATGTTCAGAGACTTTACCTAGGCAAATGCTCTCACGACCTCTTCCTCACATATACCCATATATACTCTGTCCCAGATGTTGCCACATGAACTCAGAATCTACAAACTGTAGAACTCTCATAGGACCTGTCCATACAGCCTAAACCTGGAACCTGCAGTGTCCCAGATTTAATTGGTCTTCCTCTGCAAAATACATTCATTACTCAGTTGAAATGGATCAAGTACCTATTTTGCTCTTCACAGAATACCAGAACAAAAGTGTTAAACAAAGATGGGGCCTGTTCTCACCAAGAATGTAGTCTGTAGTCATCCATCTAGGAGTTTGCTGTTTGACAGACAAGGTATTAAGAGCACTTTGCATTTACTGTTCGACTCTACATAGCCAACTATTCTCTGGACTCCTTTCATGCCTGCTCACTAAGCTCCACAAAGGCAGAAGTTTGACTTGTTTAGTTCACCTTTGCATATTTCATGCAAAGCACATATCTAGGCACATGAAAGATACTCCATAAATCCTTTTAAATAAATAGATAATGACAACAGCAAGGGGCATTCATGGAGTCATTGTAACAGTATCATATGCATTAAAGGTGCAGACTTTTCTGTGCACAGACACACACAGTATTTGGAGGCATATTCACTGAATTTGATGCACCAAAACTCCACACACCTTTTTCAGAGTGCAATGTGACTCTGAGAACTGTGACACTAAGGAACGTCCACTGCAGGCCTGTGACAGTCACAAGGGTTTGGGGAATGAGAATTGGCCCGAGCTCAGAACATAGACAGGTATGTTGACGCAAGTTATACCTACCCACAGTGAAGAGAAAGGCACTGTGGGTAAATGGCCCTGTGCACCGTGACAATGATGTATTATTTCTTAAACTGAGTTCCTCTGTGAACCTGGTCCCTTTAAACAATTGCTGATTACTGATGGACCCAGAATTTTATGTAAAAATGGGTAATCTAGGTCATTTGCTCCATCTTTGTTCAGGTAAAATGTTTTCCTTTAACATGTCCATTGCTATGGCCATCTTCAGCTTTAGGACCTTGCTTTGTGTCCAGCACTGTTTCAGGTCCACTCCTCTGTGCAATATACTTCTCCTGTGGAGAAACAAATGAACACAAAGAAAAGACAGAGCAGATAGTTACAGAGCTATGACAAAATAAGATAATTAGCATCGGTTAGGAATTTATAGTTCCAGGCTCAGTGCTTAGGACATTCCATGCAATATGTTCATTAACTTTAATAACTCTGCATGCCAAATATAATTATTTCTTTTCACAAAGTAGCAGAACTTCTGAGTAAGTGCCCACCTTTTGACAGAACCATAACTTGAAGCAATTTATGTATAAAAGAGTATAAAGTTGCCTTTGAAAGAGGTCCTATTCTGATATATATATATAGTCCCTTGTATGTGCTCATGTGTGCTGGTGCTGGGCATACAAAGCCGACTGTGTTATTGTAGGGAAGCCCTCTTATCATGGAGCTATTGCTTTACTACTCTTCTGATGTAATATGCATGCTCAGTAATTACACTTGTTGACAAAACATCACACTTAAAAGTCAACTGCTTCATATATACACATGTGTTTAAGAAAGCAAAGCAGTCTATTATATAAAAAGACTGAAATGGGGATGGCTGTTCTGACTTCAGTCTGCAAATATGTGGCCTTAGGCAAGGGTCTAATTTCACGTATTTCTGTCTTTCTCCTTCAAGCTTGCTTCAGTCATCTAACAGGCTTGGTAAATGTTTCTGTTTTGTTTTTCTTTTTTGGTCTTTTTGAGACAGGGTCTCCCTGTAGCCCCCGCTGTCCTGGAACTGACTATGTAGACCAAGCTGGCCTTGAACTCACAGAGATCTACCTGCCTGTGCCTCCCGAGTGCTGGGATTAAAGGCGTGCTCCACCACGCCTGGCAACATTTCATTTTTTGAGTAATACATTGTTTTGCATGAAATTCTGGGTTCATCAGCAAGAATTTCATATGTATTGATTTAACCCATAAGTCTGATGCGATTATTCTTATTATTCCCCTTTTCTTAACCAACAGGAAAAAAACAAGGCTAAGTTCCTTGTCCAAAATATCAAAACTAGTGCTTCAAACTGTAATCCAAACATTCTACTAGCTGACTCAGCCTGTGTCCTTTAAAAATCACTTTAGGCTAGAGCTCCCTCATAAGTATCAGAGAAATCATAATCCTAAAGATCAAAGTTAAGTTAGTCAACAACAAAACCCTAGTTGCCCATGTTGTTTTGGGATAGAAGTTAAATTTAATTAAGAGAAGTCCTGACAGAAAGAGGCAAATGTGTTAGCTTCATGAACACGTGAAGATTTTGTCCTATCTCTTTCTATTAAGATAAACATGACAGTCACAAACAAGACCAAATAGTATGCCTATAGGTAACTTAACCTACACTACCCAGGAGAGTGATTACTTAAAAGGACGTTCAAAACAGCAAACTATTTCTACAACATAGGCAGCTGAATAGAGCTTCAACTTGTTACAGCAGATCAAATTCACATTTCCTTTAATGGCAATAAATCTCATGCCACTTTTCATGGAGATGTGTGATGAAAGTCCATAGCATAGCCAATTTTAACTTCAGGGAAATGTATTCCGGAGGCATCTTCTATTACCTATAGGTCAGCAGAAGGCAGGAATGTCTCAGCAATCAGCAGTGTCAAGTACCATGCAATCTCAATAAGGCAACACAGAATGTATTCTAAGTAAAAAACAAAATTATGTAAAAAATGCATTTTATAACACAAAATTTCTCCTCAACATAAATTAATAAATTAATACTTGCTAAAGCTATGGATCTATGTTCAAAAACAAGGGCAAACAAAATTTGCTGTTTACTTTGAGTCAATAATTACTTTAACTTAAAAAAAGATTTATTTTTATTTTGTGTGTATAAGCATTGCCTATATGAATGTATGTGGGCCAGATGCATATGTGCTACCTGCGGAGGCTAGCAGATAGCATCAGACACCCTGACACTGGAATTACAGGTAGTTGTAAGCTGCCATGTGAATTCTGGGAACCAATCTCAGGTCTTTTGCAAAAGCAGCAAGTGCTCTTAACTACTGAGCCATCTCTCCAGCACACCTTGTTTACTTTTGGCAGAGTTTTCATTTTATAATCATAAACTTTGCTACACAATACTACTAGATTTAATGAGCATATGGGAAATATGAGACCCAAAGAATAACAGTAGTAAAGGCAACAGAAACTGCAAGCTGGTTGGATGAAGGGCTGCTTTCCTGAGCTACAGAGGGCTGGTTTTCAGATTGAGATAAACAAACCAGATGTATTTAAGTTGCACATAGTCTGAAATGGTGATTGTCTTGCTGAGCTTGTCAGTCTGGGTCCATGGCTTCCATCACATCTATTGCTTTTCAACTTTGAAAGGACCATATGCCTGCCACACAACCACTCAGTCTCAACAGCACAGATGAAAAGCCAAAAACTATTTGTGGCCCTTTATCATTTGCTGTGAACAAGATGTTGGGACCTGTAGACTTCAGGAGGAAATTTTCATTGCTAAGTTTGCCTTACTTCCCCAGATAGACCTGTTGCTAGTGTTACTATGATGCCAAAGTCACCATCTAGGCACATAAGTATACTAGAATACTTTTTTTCGGGGGGGGGGTACAAGTTCTTGCTTTTGTTTTGGTTTTTGTTTTCTTTGGGGAGACAGGATTTTGCTGTATATGCCAGGATGAACTTGTGAACCTCCTGCCTCAGCCTCCTGAGTGCTAGAACTGTAAGTATACAGCATCATTTTCCACTCTGTATTATGGGATATTTCTCAGAAACCAGGGACCCTCTTAACCAAATCCTTTCTCTCCAGTGCTCAAAGTATAGATGTTTTCTGTTGTCTATGAAACTTTGTGTGCAAACAGATCAAAGGAAATGCAGCCTAAG